GGTCGAGGATAATTGGAATGAAACAAGTTTGGCTATTTATTCCATAAACGTGACAAATATTCAGTCGATAGTCGATGGAATATTTTATCGACTGCAATCACTAGCTTCTCGAAACAGGCAACACTTTTGCTCAATGAACAGTCATTTTGTTCCGTCTTCAAAAAAGACAGACTATAAAAGAGAAAAGTTTTTTAGTTAGCTAGTGGCAAAACCGCTCCGACCTTTCTGCCAAACGTTAGTTATAGTTAAGTAAGAGAACACATGGGGCCAATAAACTGTCTAAATAGTTCTATTGACTGAGTGAGCCAACAATAGAGCAATAACTGCCGAAATATCGGGAAATTAAAGAGAAGTCGCGCCATAATAAGAAACCTAGATCTAGTATTCATAGTTTTATTGAATAACTACAACTCTTATGTTCAGCAGTTTGGCAACTTTTATAGTTTATTTTTGTATTTTTGAATTATGATAAATCAAAAAAAAATATGCCACAACATGGTACGTAATAGAAAGAAACCACATTCGAAACTAACCCAAACAACATCATAAAGTCTTTATATATCAAATCACCACTATATAAAAAGTTATTTATGTATTTTTTCTCTATTAATGGCTATGCAAAACATTTTTTATTTCCACTCATATGATATATTTCCACGAAATATACGAAAGCTTGCGTGTTTGTTTGCTTTCGGGCGGCGAGAAACATATTTAATATATTTTATTATACTACATCCGATTTGCCAGGGTTGGATTTAGTGGTGTAGTATTTTAACCTCTAAAAGGAGTAGATACATAATTCATTATTATCACCATCATCAACCCATAATACCACCAACATACGTCCCAGTGCTGTGTATGGGACTCCTCTTTAGAGAAGGTTTATTTTTAGGCCATAGTCCAAAATTTCGGGAAAACAAAAATGTAAAACATTTAAAAACGGCTGTGTACCTCCCTGAGTGAAGAAAAACCTTCATAGATATCTCACATATACGGAAAAAATGTCGTTAAAGACCAAAAACAAAGGTTTTGCAACAAATACATGAAAAAATCGTGAAGCCCGTTGGTTCGTTCCGCGGCTTAATTGGCATAGCGTCTTGCATGGTTTGTTGGGAGATGTAGGTTTGAATCCAACCGAATCCATGTGAATTTTTTCTAAGTTTTCGATCTTTGTTTAGTAATTATAACAAGCTAGTGGAGTAATTTCACAAAAAATAATTAAATATTATGATGGTGAAACCTCCGTGCATTTAATAAAAACTTAATTACAATCATTAAAAAAAATCGAACTTTAATAAATTATGTATTGGCCATATTGATCTACAATCTTGGCCTGATGTGTGTTGGGACTTTGCTGAAGGGTTTATACATTTTTCAACATTCAGGTTTTATCACGACGTTTTTGTTCCCTGTTAGCAAGGGGGTTAGTTGTTATTAAACATTTATAAATGTATGTAACGTATCTTAGAAACGAAACTTATCGTCTATCTCTCAATTCTTCTTTCTATCGTATCGATGGCATAGGTAAGTTGCTCCGCAGATGGACCAACTTTAGTTGATGCAACTGGCAACTTTTTACAAGTTTTCATTAACGGTTGCCGGTTTTTTTATAATATCAAGTGACGGGACGTACAAGTCGTGCACCTGATGGTAAGCTATACGCCTGTCCATAACAGTTGCAGTGCCACTCAGAGCTTCAAATCGCAAAGATCTGAAGGGCACTGCCACTGCGCCCGTCACCCTGAGATCTAAGTTGACAAGTCCCATGTGCCTGTAATTTCACCATCACTCTTACCTTTCAAAACCGGAACACAGTAATGCTAATATTACTGCTTGGCGGCAGAAATAGGTAAGGTGGCAGTACTTCCCTGGACGAACTCTTTCACAAGTTGCTCTACTGCTTTCAAACTAAAATTCAACAGGACCTTTTAGTTGGTTGTAGCAACTAAAAGGCCCTGATTCAGGTTGCTGCAATTTTAAATAAACTTTCGAAATCCAGGCGAAACCGGATTCATCCCCTAGTTTGCCACCCTTAGAGATGGAATATTTTCTTCAAATTGAAATGGGACCAATACTGAAGTACCCTCTTTTCAACGAAAAAAGAATCATCTATCAAAAAATCGGTTCACGTAGCTGTAGTCGGTTAAAAATAAGTATGTCAGTTTTATTAGCTGTACTTTTATACAAACAAGCAAGCATGGATCTCCATAAGAAATTTTAGTCTTATTTAAACGAGGTTCGAATCGTTTGCCTCTCGATTGACTATAACATTATTCAGGACTAGCTGTTGGCCGCGACTTCGTCCGCGTTAAATGTTTTACATTTTATAATATACCACTCAAATAAAAAACGAAAAATATTCAAGTTTGCAAATGTAAGGAATACCTACCGTAAACAAAAGTAACATACCCTCAAGCTTTCATATTTCTATGTAGGACTTACAGTTTTTGCTGTACGCACATCTACCAGTGAGTGAAAATTAAAAAAAAAGAGAAAGCTGCTCCGGATTCCTTTTATATATAGATTAAATATTTTTGTGGACTTACAATTATATTAAGTTCATGGTACATAATTACTATAGTATTTGGCATTGTGTGTCACATCATTTTCGTGTATTAAAGAGAGCGTTTATTTATTGTACCGAAGGGGTTAATTTGGTATAACCGGTTTCTTGTAACTAGGTCTACATTCTGACTGCGTATCTGTATGACGAGTTCATAGGTTCCCTGTGTTCCCTCACGCAAAGCTGTCGTCAGGGCTGAGCTATGAACTTGAGGGTCAAGGATTGCGATTTTCTTTTGTTTGGATACAATACAATACAAATCACCTTTCCAAGGTTGTGATTTTTAACTTAATTAAGATTTGGGGGACGTTTTGTAACTTTTCTAAAGAGTCACGACTTTGCAATTTTTGTTGGAAATGTAGCGTTTATTGTTGATTGGACATATTCTTTTATAATTAAGGCTATCAGCGCAAAAGTGATGTAACCCACATTTTTTAATTATTACATTTTTTTATACATGAAAAGAATATTCTAATGTAAAATATAATTATGTACTTTAGTATAGCTTAAAGTGGTATTGTAGAAAAAAATAAATTAAATGTGGGTTACGTACTGATAGCCTCAAATAAATAACTTAAAAATTCGCTTGGGTTTCACCCTGTGTGTTGTGGATATTCCAAAGATTCGCACGAAGCGTTACGCTTCCACATTTATATGGCGAACGGCTATGGAGTGGAATTCCCTGCCTGCGGACTTGTTCTCTGCACGTTATAACTTGGGCCTTTTCAAGGCGAGATTGAATAGACATTATTCAGGTCCTCATGCGACGATGTACGTTGACCTCATTATTAGCATAGCCATGCAAAAATGTCCAAGAAGGAATGTAATTTACATACACGCAAAATACAAAGCTAAATCTCACTAAGTTTTTGTGTTTAGGCAGCTTTTCTCTTCACTCCCATCGTTTAAAAAACATTTTAAATGTGGAATGAATAGGAGCCTATATCTGTATAATAAAAATGTATTTCGTTTGTGTACATATAATTTTACAAAGCGGGTAAATTTGATCATTTGATAAAAATGGTCCTTCGCACATAAATTCCGAAAACTCAGAGACGATGACCACGATACGACCCTCTGCCTGAGAGATGGTTGGTCAAATCATTAGGCTACTACGGTTTGTCGTCGTGGTACTGGGCTTTTCATTTCGAATTTATCTTTTTGTAAAGCGAATAGAGTTCATTTTAAATATTAAGAGTCGGTACAATCTCAAATGGCTTTGGGTTATTCCGCACGTTATTCCAAATATTGAATGAAACTTTCCAAGTGTTGAATCAATCACTATGGAAAAAATATGTAGTAAAATTGACGATATACACTGATAGTATACGGTGTGAAAACAGATTCCTAAACATTTTCATGGTAGAAAATAAACACGAAAACCGCTGTATTCAATAGGTTTTTTACATATACCAATTTTTTTTATTATTTGAACTAAATAGCACACGTATGGTATACGATATACATTTTGAGATGGCTTTAATTACGTTTGTAACAAAATAAATTCTGAAATAAAGCCAGTATCTCTGCCGCGCGACCCGCGCAAAGTGTTGCTGTCGTGATTGTAAATGTCGCACATAAATTCCGAAAACACACACGTGCACGACTCTCTGTTTGTGAGGCGGTAAGTTTAGGCTACAAGCAATTAGGCTACCACGTCTAAAATACTAAGATTGCTTTTCAATTTATATAATATACTTTTGTTAGTATTTATAGAAGATTCAAGAATTTAATAAACAAAAAATTATAGAACTATATAGAGAGTATATATATTTACATATTATATATACATATTGTTTGGCAGATTAAGTAGGTCAATGAGGTTAATAGACAAACTTCTTGAAACTGATTACCTATCAACGAGTTCATTGAGAACTGTCCTGAACATAGCACTTTATAATAAATATGTGTGTTATCCGTCGCTGCTGTTCGTGCACTACCTTTCGAGCACCGGTGTCCTGTAGAGTGGGTCGAATGCTGTACGTAGTATATATATATACCTTTATATATTACTTTCAATTTCCACTATGTACTTATAAACAATATAATAATTCAATCATATAATTAAAAAAAAGGAGGACGTTCTTAATTCGTTCCTTCGCGTTTGGATACCACTTTCCACTTAACATCAGGTGGAGTGGAGTCATTTGCCTGTCATGTATAAATAAATAAATAAATTAATTGATTCGACTGTATTTTTTTTTAATGTATGTTACGCTATAACTCCGGTATTGGTTAAACGATTTTGATGATTCTTTTTTGTTGGAAAGACGGTACCTTAGTTGAGGTTACGTCATTGGTCCCGTTTAAATTTGAACAAAATATTCCAACTCTAAGGCTGGCAAACTAGGGGATGAATTCGGTTTTGCGCAATTCGACTACAACTACAGTACGTAATGACTTTCAAATGTTTTTACCATCGTGTAATTTATCTCAAATGTGCAAGGTAATTAATAGTTTAGGACATATATTAGATTTAGTTTTGACTAACGAAACGGTGTTAGAAGTTTCAGTGGCTGAGGCAGTTTGTGGTTTGGTCTCTGATGAGGTCCATCATTTGCCACTTGATATATCTATTAGCATACCCAATGTGAATAACAAATATCGAAAGCCTTCTGGCAATATCCCAGCGCCCAATATTAGAAACTTTCGCAAAGCTGACCTCCACCTACTTTACATGAGAATATCTGAAATAGATTGGATGCCCCTTTATTAAATAAGTCATTTAGATGAAGCTGTGGACTACTTGTACTCAGTTATTTGCAATATAGTGGAGGAAGTTGTTCCATTTAAGAACCCTAGTAAGCCTACTAACTATCCGGTATGGTTTTCTGCTGAGACTATATATTTATATTCAAAAACAAATATCACAAAATGTACAAAGAAACAAACTATCAACTCTATTATGGTTTTTTCTACTATTATAGGAAAATGGTTCTGCGAAGATCAAAATGCGATTTGATTAAATATTCTAAAATGGTTCAGGGGGATGTCAAGCGAAATCCTTTGTTATTCTGAGCGTTTGTGAAGAAGCACAAAATGTCATGTCAGCCAACTACATTTGGTACCACGTGCCCCAGGAAATAGTTGACTCATTTGCTCAATTTTTTCAAAGTGTCTTCCTCCCTACTCTACCACTTCTCTGTGTTGAAAATGCTTGTGACAGTTCTGCCACTTTTACACATCTTGCCACTTTCCAGAGACATATTAGTGTTGATGAAATTAACGAGATTGACGTGCGCAAAGCTATCAAACGCCTAGCACCTAAATTCACACAGGGCCCTGACGGGATCTCTCAGTTTGCGGTCAAAGATTGCTGCAAAGTATTTGTTAAACCACTTTGTTATTTATATAACCTATCAATTGGAACAAACTTGTACCCACGACGTTGGAAAATATCTAAAGTTATACCTGTACACAAGAGTGACGCGAAGGGTGATATAAGAAATTACCGGCCTATTGCTATTCTCTCAGTATTTGCAAAAATATTCGAAACGGCGCTCTATTCGACCATAGCTTTACAGCTGTGTGGATGCTTTTGTGACGAACAACACGGTTTATTGCCGCAACGCTCAACTACGTCCAATCTTCTGAATCTAAATACCTTAATTGGGTCAAAAATGGATCAGAATACTCAAGTTGATGTTGCCTATTTCGACTTCCGAAAAGCTTTTGATCTTATAAAAATGGGTGTTGCGAGATTTACTAATCAGTTAATGAAATTTTTCTGTGCGTATTTTCAAGATAGAAAGCAGTACGTTGAATAGGAAAACTAAGTATTCCCCTTATACAGTTGCTTCTGGTATAGGGCAAGGTAGCAGTCTCGGCCCTCTCCTTTTTATACTGCTTGCGAATGACCTTCCTACATCTGTAATATATTAACAGCATTTTCGCAATCCAATCCTCAATGAGTACAGCCTCGGTGGCACGACCTTGAACCGTGCGAAGACTGTTCGTGATTTGGGAGTAAGATTCGATTCTGGACTCAAATTTAACGATCATGTTCTTGGAAAAGTCTTGGCTTCATCAAGCGGCAATCTAAGTTTTTTGACCATCGACAGGCAATTTGTAATTTATGTAACGCCTTTGTTCGAAGTAAATTGGAAGCTACGTGCGCAGTGTGGAATCCCCACAATAAACTCTATATAGCAATGTTGGAACGAATCCAGAAATCATTTTTGAGATATTTGTATAGTAAACTTTATGGGTACTATCCTTATATGTATCCTACAACCTTTATTTTGGGCATGGTATCGTACAGATCGCTTGAGATCAGGTAAAACTGGCGCTTCTAAAATATATTTTTAACCTAATAAGAGGATATATAATTAACTCTCCTCTAATGGCTCAAATTCCTTTTTTTATCCCGCCAATCTCACGTTACGTCCTTCGTCAGCGCAAATACCCTCTATTCAATTTTCATTTAACCCGCACAGTGACACTAAGACGGGCACCATTCTTCGAAGCCCTAGCCGCAATTGAATCCTTAAGCAAAACAAATGATATTGACGTGTTCAGCAACACTGAATCAAAATTTCTAACATCCGCTGGTTACTATTTGGAGGCGGTCACCGCCCAAAGCTCTGTGGTCGAAATTCCGCTTCCTATCTTTGGCCGGTGATCGACTCAACCTTTTTTGTGACTATGACTTACATGTTTAGTTATAAGTACTGTAAGTTTAAGTTGTACAAAATAAATAATAAAAAATACTTCTGATTTCAAAAAACTTGGTAAAGATTTAATTCCACGCACTTTTGAGGTCGATTTTTTTAATACTCTGAGAATATGTTATTTAACTTTTCTTTTTTTCAAAATTTTATCAGTGTGACTTGTAAGCGCTTTGGTACTGCAAATATGTTACCTATCGAGTTCTTAGGTTTTCGCGATTGTTACACATAGGAAATGAAACTATTTTTCCGGATTTAAATCGCGTATATTTGTTTTTTCAAACAAACCGACGTTTCGGGCCCTTTACACCATGGGACCTGTAAAAGGCCCGAAACGTCGGTTTGTTTGAAAAAACAAATATACGCGATTTAAATCCGGAAAAATAGTTTCATTTCCTAAATATGTTACCTTTTAAGTATTTTCAAAAAACAAATAAATATGCCAACATTATTTTTCATAATGACATTAGTAGCTGTCTATGCCTCTAACACGAGTTTACTTTGTGACGGTTGCCACTAGCAACTGCGTAAATTACTTCACAATTTTGTATAGCAAATTTTTTCCATCCTCTAAGCAAATTATAGAGTACCCCTAGCGGTCACAAGAAGAAACAACTTTTTGTATACAAACATTTTACGCGGCCGCTAGCGGTAACTGTGACAAGGTAAAGGCACAGTTCGTTATATGCAATTAAAAATCCAACTATAGTGAAAAACTTAGATTTCAAACATTCCAGAGACATTGCAAAGACAACTTGAAGCTAAGCTAAGAGTGAAATAGGGTATTTTTAAGTATATTTGGTGTAATTTATGCCGCATTTTCACAGGAGCGAAATCCAACAATCCCCATACACAAACTAATCTACCTCCTCTACCCATACAACACGTTCCTGAGTAAGGAACACATAAAAAACGTCCAAGGAGTTCTACAAAACCTCAAAATCAACACTCAGCCAAAATGGGACATAAACTTGAAAGAAATCGACTTCGCTGGCAGCCAAGCTGTAGTGAGCCTTGATGTCAACGGCGACAAAAGTCAGTTTGCAGTGCCGTGCGGTGGAAGTAAAAGGGGTAGAGAAGAGAGAGGAGTGGTGAAGACGTCGTATCAAAGTCAACTGTTGAATGAACTGCTTTTGAGTCATAGTGTTGGTGATTTTTGTGTTGTTGGTAAGTTAACCATTTGATGATTGTAAACTAACATGGTACTATTGCTTAGTGAAAAAATGTCAGAACTTGTAAAATATGTATATGGTAAGTACCTAAACTAAGTACTTGTGTGACGGGAGTCATTGGTTACTATCAGTTACACCGTCCGTTCGTCACTTTGTACCACAGCAAAAAATAAGATTAAGGCGAGTTTACTGAAACAAAGAAATAAACGACGGCCACATTGCCTTGTGAGTTTGATAAGCATGTGCAAAGAAGATTTATTAATTTTTTATGTTTTCGAACTAGGGAGCGGTACGAGTCTTACATATATCTTGATATATGTAAGAAACATCATCTTTTGCCACTACAGGTACGACGTCAGATAGCAGACCTAGTATTTTTGCGAAAAATTGCTTGTGGCCTCCCCGGAACTCGTGTCCAAGATTTCTCTTAGAGCCCCTACAAAGTCCCTTAGGTTTAATTAATTTTCGTGCGTACCTATGGCCTCTTCGAATTTTCGGCGGAATGCATATCTCTCACGTGCGAGTAATACCTTCAATGAATTGTCCAAGCAGGTTGACATTGACCTTTTTAACACTAGTGTTGCATCGGTGAAACGTCTTATTAGTAGTTTGTTCTTTGGCGAGTAGGTAATTACTAAGTGTTGCGAAAATGTATATAATATGGTTAGTAGTTATATAGTTATAATTTAATGGTCATTTACTTAATGTGTGTCTATCGGTGAGGATCTATAATTGGATCTCCATTATTATTTCAGTTTTTACTGTATAATATAGCCGTTGGTCTTCCAATAAGTTAAAATAAAATAAAAATAAAATTATTTTATTTACATTAGTTGCACTCTAAAACGCGCTATCGTTTTGTTAAGTCCAATAGTATAAGTAATCTTATATGTTTAGAATTGTTAATGCTCACTATCACTACAGTATTGATACGGCACTGAACGGATTATAATATGAAGTCACGAGACTAACAAATTGTGCTCCTGATGGTAAGCGATACCACTGTCCATAACAGTTGCAGTTTAGATCACAAAGATCTGAGGGGCACTGGCCACTGCGCTCGAAACCCTGAGTCGCAAATTGATAAGTCTCATGTCCATGTAATTTCACCAGCACCCTTACTCTTTGAAAAGGGAACGCAGCAATGCTGACATTACTGCTTGGCGGCAGAAATAGGTAAAGTGGCAGACTACCTCATTCACAAGGAATTCTGCTGCTTTTTTTTAAGTTTTAACACAAAAAGCATATTGCAACTAAGAACAGTTTACACATTGAGTTTTGGAAAGCATAATTATGTGGAAGACTGAAGTACCCTTACCCTTCGAAAAGGGAACGTAGCAATGCTGACATTACTGCTTGGCGGCAGAAATAGGTAGTGGCAGACTACCTCATTAACAAGGAGTTCTGCTGCTTTTTTAAATATTTTTTTTTCACGAAAAGCATTTTGCAACTAAGAACTGTTTACACATTGAGTTTTGGAAAGCATAATTATGTGGAAGACTGATGCTTAAACTAAGCATAAAGTTCTAAGGTAATTTATCATCTTACCAAAGAATGAACGTCCACTTAACTGTCTTAAATTCTTCTACTAAATTGGTGTAAACAGGCCTTAATCTAAATATTGTATTTTTACTAAAAATACAGACGTCGATGTCAACGTCGGTACCAGTTAATACTAGCGCCACTTACAACGTAACTTGCAAGCTTTTCAGTGGACGTAGTTGTATTGCGAGTATATAACCAGAAATAAGGGCCATCCATTCCTGGCAACTCATCAGGCAAATGGGCCTTATATCGCTTTTAAATATCAACTCGAGTTTGCGCTAAAATCACAAATTAGAAAGCTGAAATAGTACAGCGCCAACAACTGACCTGTGTGTAGGTACGTCTCCGTATATTCTGAAAATATTCTGTATTTATTGTAATAAGATAATATTTCTAACTATGGGAGGCTCTTGCATTCGGTAGTCTGGGAAAATCTGCAAAACATCTAATTACAAAACAAACGGAATCACATTTCATCGGTATTTAAATATTAAATACGTAGTTTTTCAATTTTCGTCCATTATAGCAAATCTTAAGTTCAACTGGTCGCTTTGAAGTGCAACAATTAACGTCATTCGTTAATTGTTGCAAATTCGGGCTAGCTAATCGGAGCGCCGTTGTCACAGTAATGACTTGGGAGAATAGTTTTCAAACAAATTAAATGACATTTCGTCTCTATTTCTGGGTAGATACTCGATGGTACCAGTTAATACTAGCCCCACTTACAAAGTAACTTGCAGGCTTTTCACTAGACGTACGTGTATATATTACAGGTCCAAAAGGCTGCGGTAAGAGCCTACTAATCTCGCAACTTGCATCCCTTCTCGGCTATACAATAGAGCCAATAGTTCTTTACCAAGATATGACAGCTCGAGATCTATTACAACAACGGACGACGTTGGTTAGTGGAGACACAGTGTGGAAGAACTCTGCCTTGGTGGACGCCGCATTGAAAGGACATTTGGCTGTTCTGGACGGGTTGCACAGAATACATCCTAGTACCGTTGCTGTTTTACATAGGTGAGTAAAACCATCGCATGCTTTTGTATATTGCAAAATATCAGTATAAAATCTACTGAATGTATGGTGTGGTGTACGAAAAGTGTTGCCTATTCCGTGTCATTTATTTTATTAATTATCTATAATGATATTCAAATATTTGTGTGATGCTCTGTAGCCACGCCACCCTATTTTGTATATTATTATATTATCCACTGAAATGTATGCCTGACGTACATGTATTATTTATGAATTACTATTAGTTTAAAAGAAAAAAGAAACAATTACTATGGGGAATTATCTGTAGCCATCTATATTAATAATACTTGTAGATGCAATTTTAGCTATTTTTCTGAATTTACCCAATAAACGCTGTTTATTAATAAAAACTAGGTGCAATGTAAGTTAATTCTGCTACGTTTCAATTGTATTAATTATTCAATATTTTATAATAATGAAACGCCTTTACAATCATGTTACAAAATGTTGTATAACAATTTTGCTGATACATTATTGATAAGCGATAAACACCTAAAGGACTTACAGTCAACTTGACAATTGAAATGTAGCAGAATTAATTTACATTTCGCCTATTTTTTGTATATGTACATACAATGACTAAATTCAGAAAAATAGAGATAATGGCTTTGTGTCTGATTCTGACTCTCCCAGACTCCATCAGAAGGTGTCCTAGATTATCGTCTTTCAAAAAGAATACCCATGAGCATCTTTTAAATTGTTTGTGGTTCGGTGGCACGGCGACAGAACATGACACAAAGACTTTTTTTTTTGAAAAATACTCCACTAGTTTGGTGTTATTACTGATACAAAGATCAAAAACTCTTTTCATGTAATTTTTGTTCAGATTTGAACTTGAACTAAATAATACATTTTCTAAGTCGGTTTTTTCTATTAATAACTAAATGTTTTATTGAACTTTCTAGGTTAGTTCACGATCGCGAAGTGCAACTTCACGACGGCACCCGACTGCTCCGTCACGACAGATACGACGCGCTCCTCGCTTCTGGTCTCACTCAGGCTGAACTTGAAGACAGCGGTGTCAAGAGAATTCATCATGCATTCAGGTAGGGACTAAACCTGTGTTATATCAGTGGTAATAATAGTTCAGGTAGAACCGTGTCACAAGACACGGTTCTAACTGAACCGTGACAGTTTTTAGGTTAGTTAGAACCGTGTCAGATTAAAGATAGTTTTCCACCGGCGCGGCGTGACGAGGCGAGGCGAGACGAGAATGGAAATCTCGTAAAAATTGCCATTAATAGCTCGCGCGAATTATAGCTATCTCGCGCGAGCCCACGCAGGGATTGCGGATAGTGAAGATTCAGTGTAGTTCCCTTCATCTAGCGTTAAATACGCGACCGAAGTAACATGTCCCGTAAATTATTATGATGTAATATGTTAACGGAAGAATCAGATGAAACCATCTTTTTTAAATCTCAAATCGTACGTAACACACAATCTCGCAATTGATATTAATAGCCATCGCGAGCACGCATAAACTCGCGTTAGACAGTGCAAAAATCGTGTTTCCGTTAAAGAGTATGATACTGTATGTTGGCAGCAATACGGTTCAAAATATTACAATATTTCAATTCTCGTCTCGCTGCTTCGTCGATCCAGACCATTTCCACTGAAGATGGGCTAGGAGAGAATTGAAATTTTGTCATACAAATTTCAATCCTCGTCTCGCCTCGTCTCGCCTCGCCCGGTGGAAAACCTTTGGTCCTGGTAATTTGGGCGCTTTGAAAGAAGAACGTTGCCTTGAAAGTTTTATTCACATTAAATGGCACAACATAAGAGACGGCGGTAGGAGGTCTGAGGTAAATTAGAGCGCCGTCATCATGATTAATTTATAGAATTAGGTTTGTACCTGTTTACCTGATTTACACCCTGTATAGTTTGCGCATCACATTACGTATTTCAGAATAGTAGCGTTGGCTGAGCCGCCGACTTTAGGCCGAGGACAGCAGTGGTTGTCTCCAGAGATACTGAGCCTTTTCATCTTCCACGAGATGAGGAATTTGAGCAAGAATGAGGAGATATTCATCATTAATCAATTGGTATCTAATTTAATACATTTATGTCTATGTAAATATAAGTAATGTAAGTACTTTATTTTTATCGGAGTAAACTGTAGTAGTGATATATTTTCATACCTGTGCTCCTCGGCTTCGTAGCCGTATGAGATGAAATGTATCTAATCGTCGTATAACAACTGTTAATAAAAAAAAAAATAGATATAACATATTGAATAAAAACGGACTTGCAAATCCATGCAGAGTTTATGGCGTGATCTTAACGTTCGCTATTCTAATTTCTATTTATTTTTCTTTAAAGCACGGCGACATATCAAATCCTCTCCATTCAATCATCAATTTAGCGGACCAATTGCGAGCATCAGAAGATAATACCCTTAAGAATCTTTCATCATCGCTCTCCACGCGACAGCTCCTGCGAATTGCCAGTAGAATGGCAAAATACCCCACTGACTCAGCCTATGAAACAGTACAGAGGACTTTCTTAGCCAAATTCTTACCTAATTTAGCAAGGAGGGCACTAGATGGCGCTAGTCAAAAACTGGGTATCGAAATTCCCACTCGATTCGGAATTTTCAGTCGAGATCCTGATGAAAAACCAGTTAAAATTTCAATAAAAAACGGTGCACTTACCATTGGAAACACCACGACCGAAATATTTAAAACCAATGCCTTAACAAAAGTACCTGATATCCTGTTCTACGATGTACCGCAACACGTGAGATTATTAGAATGGTTATTACAGGACTTCCTGCTCGGAAACCATTTATTATTAGTCGGAAATCAAGGAGTGGGAAAGAATAAGATAGCTGATCGCTTATTGCAGCTGTTAAACAGGCCTAGGGAGTATATACAACTGCATAGAGACACCACAGTCCAATCTTTGACAGTACAACCGACTGTAAGAGACGGCGTGGTCATATATGAAGATTCCCCGTTAGTGAAAGCTGTTAAACTCGGCCATATTTTAGTGGTTGACGAAGCAGATAAGGCCCCTACTCACGTGACGTGTATTTTGAAAACGTTAGTAGAAAACGGAGAAATGATTCTGAGCGACGGTAGAAGAATTGTGCCAAAGGATTTGTTGGAAAGTTCTGGCGGCGATATATCTAGCTTTATTCCGGTACATGATGATTTCAGAATGATTGTTTTGGCTAACAGACCTGGGTTCCCGTTTTTGGGTAATGATTTTTTCGCCGCTTTGGGTAAGTTTACTGGACTATCTCCATTAACTTGTTACACTTTAAATCCTGGCTAAGAAGATATTAGTTTGTTTCAAATGTGTGGAAATTAACTTCATTCGGATAATTTTGAAGGGGCTAATAACAAGTAATCGTAATCTAAGAAATGAAAAAATCTATCGTAGCAGACAGATATTTTTAGTAGTAGTAAAACTTGTTGTGAAAGAGTTCAGGGAATTCTTACCTACTTCTGCCGCCAAGTAGTAATGTGACATTACTGCGTTCCGGTTTTGAAGGGTAAGAGTCCTGATGAAATTACAGTCATAATATGAGACTTGTCAATTGATATCTCATGGTGAAAGGTACAGTGGCAGTGTCCATCAGATCTTTGCGATTTAAAGCTCTGAGTGGCACTGCAACTGCTATGGACTGGCATGCTGTTTAACATCAGATGCACGATGATTAAAGTTATCAAATATTATTTTACTTTGAAGTATTTTTTTTTATTATAGACCACATATTACTTATGTAGAATAAGCGCTGGAAGATCCACGTTCCGCCCTACAATAGTTTTCGTTGCTATATTATGCTGCATTTAGCGAATGTGACGATCACGCTGCTAAATGCAGCATAACCATATTCGCTGTGCCGTTTGCGCGTACAGTGTCCCATAGGAACTCGCCGCTGCTCCGTGCCCTCACAATGCTCAACAAGATCTTATTGTTATTAATTTTATAATTATCATAGTTTTCACAGTGCATTAGTTTTTAACTGTAATACCGTGTAAATATATTTATGATAAATAAATAAATAAATAAACTAAATTGAAAATCACCTCATGCCTAATTTAACCGCCTCTGTAGCCGAACGGTTACCACGTTCCGCTGGTCTGCCACGCAGAAGTCCCGGGTTCAATTCTCGGGCCGGGAGAAATATTTGTATGGCATTTACTTCTTTCATGAGTTTGGGTGTAATTTGTGGCTGTCTATATGTGTGTCCACGGCACAAGCGATACAGGGTATCCTTTCTTTAAAAAGAACTACACTATTATCGGATTAATAAAAGGCAGACGCTTTTTCCAGGCGATTTATTCTCCTGTCATGCAGTGGACAATCCCTCAATAGACTCGGAAATGGAGCTCCTTCGTTCATATGGGCCGGACGTGCCACATGACGTCATGAAGAAACTTGTTAAGGCGTTCGCCACGTTACGTGACATGGCTGACCAAGGACAATTGACATATCCGTATTCTACACGGGAACTTGTTAATATAATTAAGCATTTGCAGGTGAGAGAAATTTAGTTATTTCTCATAATATTCCTTATATTGGTTACGTGACCTGGATCTCCTCTGTTGCTCGAAAAAAAAAGGCACTTGGAACTTGCTTGGCGAGCGAATGATACGAAGAATACAGCGAGATAAAGCTCTCTTTAAATAAGAAAACAAACCCAAACCACCACATTTACTTAAATATCATTAACAACTAATGAGTGCAAGCGAGAAAGGAAACATTGATGAGTCGCACTCATACGTTCATCGTCACGTGCAATCTCATAAATGTATTGTTCAAATCAACACTTATTAATTCATCTATACATAACCGTTATTTGTAAATATACAACCTTACTAACCAGGCTGACCAGACCCGTGTGAATATGGCAAAACACCCCCATTAATAGTAAATGACTTGACAACATTTGAAAAATAATTTTTGGGAAAATGGAAAAAGTAGATTAAAAAAATAACATGATATCATTGTTTGTGGTGATATATGACAAAATCGTATTTGATATAAAAAGCGAGGTATTGGTTTTATGTAGTGCATTTCTTTGTTTATATTGTAATTACTCAAGAAAGTTTCCTTTGAAATGAATTTTCGCATCTAAATCGCCTATATTTGTTTATTCACACAAACCACAGGGCCCTTTACAGGTCTCATGGTCATGGCTAACTGAGATGGTAAAGTCATCAATCAGTTTTTATAATAATAATAAAGCACACACTCAACATAGCCCCGCACTAGGGACACCCCGTGTCGCGGGTACCAATGACACACACATAGGCAACCACAAATTACACCCAAACTCACGGGAGAAATAAATGTAGGCCATGCAAATATTTCTCCCGGCCCGGGCATCGAACCTGGGACCTCTGCGCGGCAGTCCGCCATGGTAACCGTTCGGCCACTGAAGCAGTTAAAGTATGTCTAATATTAAATCAAACAACCCTTTTTTCATTAACGACACAAAATTTTTGATTTTATTTTATCAACAAAAATACGACAATCAAAAATAGTAGGTATGTTATTTTTGATTGTCTTATTTTTGTTATTATGGTTGCGATATCTAAAACAAGTTAATCGTCATCAAGCCATTTTTATATGTCCCACTGCTGGGTATGGCTCTCTACCTAAACACGTTTTTCGGGGTTTGTGAACCTTTTTCAACGTGCAGCTTTCATCACAATGTTTTCCTTCACCAAAAAGCTCATGGTAAATTTCAAATTAAACAAATAAATTTCGAGAAATTCAGAGGTGTGAGGCCGGATTCGAACCTACGGCCTCTGCTTGAGAAGCGGTAGGCCAAACTATTAAGGTACCAGGGCTTCTGTTACATTATTCAAAACAAGTTATACGTCAATATTTTCCAGAAATACCCCATGGAAGACCTCGCAACAGCGATTGGCAACGTATTTGACTTTGATCGCTATAGCAAAGACATGGCGGACAAGTTGTTAGAAGTCCTTCACGAAAGCGGACTGCCGACAGAGGGCGTGCTTGAGGGACGGTCCAAGGCCGCGCTTAAGAAAATACAAATGACCATTGATAGGCATAGTGGGTGAGTATTATTTAGATTATATTTTATTATTGTTCATATAATACTGACTACGAATTGCAGGGCAAAATCTGGACAATCAAGGAAACAATTTCCATGTTGAGAATACCTTTTTCAATATCGTCATATCTATTGACAATGTTAGCAAAATCCAGATGGATCGCTTTTCTGTTTGTCAGTTTGGTTACCATGAATATTGAGGCTATCAACGCAAAAGTGATGTAGCCAACATTGAATTATTTTTCTACAATATTACTTTAAATAATACTAAAGTACATAAGGCTCATTTGGTGGGTAACATTGACGTAATGGTAATTTTGAATTAAATTTGTTGACACAACTCTAACATAACAAATGTTACGTTTGAAGATAAATCGGCAGTAATTTTAAATTATATGAATTTATACGTATTGTAAAAATTTACACAAAATTTTATTGATAAATGTGAAATAAAATTGGAAAAAAAAAATTCAAAATAATTTCCTGTAACATTACAAGAAGTACAATTGCGTCAATGTAGCACTAAATGAGCGATAATAATTATGTAGATTATGTAATTATGTAAAAAATTAAATAGCGTCCAAATACGTAATAATTACGTACTTTAGTGTCATTTAAAATAATATTGTAGAAAAGGAAATCGATGTGGGTTACACCACTTTTGCGCTGATGGCCTCAATTGTACCTTACTTATTTATTTCAAATTATACTTGTTTAATTTTAGTAAAGACGTATCCTCTCCTAAACATGGTAAAGAGGACGATAAGCCTCACGTAGGAGGGAACACCTGGGCTGGCGGAACCGGAGGACGCGACACTGCCGGTCTTGGAGGGAAGGGAGGGCCCTATAGACTCGACAAAGGTCATGATGTGCATCAGGTAACATTGGCAACCTTTACATTTGAGGTCATCTTAGAATGTACTGTTTCCTAGTAGTAGCATTCAGTACAGCATTTAGGTCGACTTAGTGTAGAATATTACCCAGTCATAGGAAGTAGCTGGATGATAATGGCTTGAGACTGCTCGTTGTAGTGCGATTAATTCTCTGTAGGCTGCAATAAATAGGCTGATTGAAGACGATGAAAGATAACTTGGTTTGAGGATGATGGATAGCGACAAGAGTATATATTCAAATGATCAAGAGGGTTTCCCTGTGTTTTAGATTACAACCTTATTGAGACCACATATTCGCCTGTTTTTCGTGATTATGGAATATCCTGTTTTTGGGGAAATTTCCTGGGGATAGTCTAATCATAGTGTAACTACGATTCCTACCGTTCTACGTCTCGTTAGTTTCGCAATGCGCAACGGGAAGTGAGCGGGCCTACAATTCCGGTGCCTTTCTGGAAATATGAAGGGTACTGTAAGTGCACCCGGGGCGGCTCACCCGAGGCGCTTACCCCTTGAGAACCGGATGAAGTCAGTGAGTACGGTATTTGACAACCCGGTACACTGGCTGATCTGGGGTCAGAACCTGAACTTAGGAAGTTCCTGTGCACGCATAGGATGCATGTCATAATATTTTTTTTTATTGTTCTGCTAAGTTCTTTAACTCTGTATAAGACATAGGGCGCACTATAAGTTTCCGGAACTGGCTACTTAGATAAACAATATTTAAAAAGTAATTACGACATTTGAAAATGGAACTATTTAGCTGTAGAATACAGTTTGTTTCATCTGACTGTCACTTGTTTTTACATTGTGGCGTCATTTTAGTCATTGGTTGTCTACATCACCATGGATTTAACTCGTGAAAATTTTCGTAGTATGATTTTCTACGGAGCTTCACTCGGCTTCAAACTGCTTTTGGCGATGAAGCACGATTATTTATAGCTGGTTTGCAGAATTCAAACGCGGTCGTGTGAATCTCAGTGACGAATGTCGTGATGGTCGCCCGTCCACTGCTGTGAACAACAAAAACATCGATGCTGTGCGCCGTATGATCAAAACAGACAGGCATGTTACCTAACAGCAATAGAGATTCGGGCATCTTTAGGCATAGGCATGAGTCAAGTACGATCAATACTACACAAACATTTGGGTGCGAAAAAGCTGTGCTCTCGGTGGATCCCACATAATTTGACTGAGGCTCAGAAAACGGATCGCGTCACTTGGTGCAATGCCATGCTTACCAGATTCAACGAAGGGGCTTTAAATTTAGTCTCGGACATAGTAACAGGTGACGAAACATGGATTTATAGATACAATCCCAAAACAAAGCAGCAATCGAGCGTATAGATCTTTCGAGATGAGCCGAAACCAACCAAAGTGGCGAGCGTGCAAATTGCCTCTAAGCGGATAATTGCCTCTTTTTTAAATAAAACTGGACATGTGACTGCTGTTGCTTTGGAGAATCGTACCGTGAATAGTGATTGGTACACAACCATTTGTTTGCCGGAAGTTATTGACAAACTCTATAAAAATAACCGTAAACGCCGTATCATCTTGCACCACGATAATGCCAGTTCTCACACGGCCAGACAGACAAATGGATTTTTGAAGGTGAGCAACGTTGACGTTATGAGCCATCCCGCGTACAGTTCCGACCTGGCACCTTTGACTTTTATTTATTTCCAAAAATTAAGAACCAGTTACGCAGTCAACGATTTTCATCAACCGAAGAGGCTGTCGAAGAGTATGAAAAATATGTTTAAGAGATTGTCACGGAAGAGTGGCATAAATGTTTTCAAAATTGGTTCATTCGTATGAAAGAGTGCATTAACGCTAACGGAGAATATTTTGAGACACAATAAATTCACTTCTGACCATAGTGTTTTTTTCTTATTCATTCCGGAAACTTATAGTGCGCCACACGTATCTAGCAAAAACATTTGAGGCTACTTCAATTTTTCTAGGAATAAAGTACCAAGCTCAATGCTAATTCGGTACAAGTCTTTTGATCGATATCCTTTTTCTAGCTTTCACAAGCTGAAAAAGACGACGTACCGGAGCACGTGAAGAAGGCAGCTCGGGAGATGAATAGAAAGGCGTTCGAAGAACGACTCAAGGAGATACGCATGAGCGAGTACGATGCTAAGTTGTATGAACAGTTTTACAGAGCTGTGCAGCCCCAGGTACGTTGTTTTACGGTGGATTTATAGGTTACTGTAGTTGTGAAGCCTATTATACTTCACCTGTGAAAGTTATATAATTATTTGTTTAATTAAATTTTATTAAATAAATATAAATGGCAGATCGGTGCTTTAAGAGGCGTTTTGGCAGAGCTTCAGGCGAAAAAGAAAGAGCGGCAATGGAGCCGACATCAAACGAGTGGCGAGCTCGACGATGGGAAGATTATTGAAGGTAACAATATTAAGTACTGTTTTCAGTGAGAATATCAAGCACCAAAGCATCACGAGGCCATCATAATAACTACCTACCCAAATAACTACTTTACCACCTTTACTTTCTTTCACGTTCTGCATAGCCGGCAGTAATCCGACCACCGGCCGCGGCTGGTTGGTCTTCCCCTCCACAAACACTTCTTATATTGCGCGCCCTGGTATATCTTGCTTGTCCGCGTCACATTTCACATTTTTCACATTCAACGGTTAAATGTAATGTTTCCGGAAGAATGTCTACTACCACCTCTGAGTTGCCTCCTTTGACCTTCCAAAGTGGAGCAAAGCTCAATGCTTTAAGCGGCATAACGACGCATGTAACCAAGCGTACGTCTCTTTCCGGGGGTCTGTACAAATTGGTCATTAACGTTTTTATTTGTTGGTGAGAGGTTACAAATGTCGGACTTTAGCTGTCTCATTATGAGATAATGATGGCGCATATTTCAGGCCATTTGACTTCTATCCATAGCCCAATTTACTTCCCACCAGTAGCAACACCTGCACCTTGCTTTCATCACGTCTGAGCGTGGCCATTACAGCACCTATGGATAAAACCACTTACAAATTCGACAATCTCTGTGACCTAACGAAGTGCATTATGGGTGCTAGAGGACCAGTTTGAGACAACCGGTCTAGGTGTTCTGGGTAGTGCTCCGGAATTAATCCCGTTGCTCTGGTACTTATAGATAGTACAAGGAATTCTTTAGTTTGAGACCAGGTAATTGGTGTATGATTTAATAGTACATTATGTATTAAGGACGGTAATTACTAACGAGGCACTATTAGAAGCCCGAAGGCGAAGGCTGAGGGCTTTGATAAGTCAAATTTTGTATTTTTTTACCGTCTATGATATATACAAGGTTTTTCATCACATTTGCGAGTAAATAAATACAATGTTTATTTCTTGTATGATTAAATATTGTTCACAACATAACAATATTATGGATTTTGCAAAAAAATTTTTGTTTTTTTTTATCAACAGATGGCCAGCTAGCTATTCTTCCATATATAATAATACTCGAACTAAAATGTTATAAAAGGCAAAGACGCATACAGCCTCGATGGACTGTAAAAAAAATTTGTTAATTTTTTATACAGAAAATAATTGTAAGAAATTCTTAATCATAAGTATTTAAGTAGTATCTGGCTGAATTGCAATTAAATTTCTGTTTAGATAACATTTTAAGCGAATGTTTTAATTTTGAACCTAAGTAACTTGCTTGAACTTGAACCTGACCTATGTAAGGAAATATATCATGCTACAAATTAAAAGAAAGTTCCTTACCGACCATGGCGGTGATGGGAATAAAAAAGGCCCGAGGGCGTAATAGCCCAGTTATCCACCATCCATGCCATCATACTATTTACGAACAAGTGTGATGAAAAAACAAAATTTAATTCTTAAAAGAGCTTTGCATCACGGTTTCCGTATTTATAAACAGAGCCTCGGTGAGTTGTGCTCGTTTAGTCTCAAATGTTTTCTCTAGCTTTTTTAGCGAAGAAGTTTTTTTGGTCGACAGGTTTAACTGGTGAAAGATCAATATACCGTCGTCGCACGGAACAAGAGCCACCACCAGGGTCTCCTCCTGATAAACCGAAGAGACTTAGATTGGTACTGGACGTTTCAGGCAGTATGTATAGGTATGTGTGTTGGGATTTTTGTCATTGTAAGTTACACTCGCTTAGACTAGGCCTCTTCTTTTTATCGTATCGATGGCATACACTGTAATACTTGCCATCGTGGTGAAAGTATTTATCAATCAGCGAGTTTGGATTTAAAATTTAGATGCTATTTTACAACCAACCCTAATGTAAGGGTCGTAGTCGTGGGTTAGCGTAGCGAGAGGCACATTTCAATGAGAAACGAGGAAAATAATCATAAATAAAACTTAACTACGTGTATTAAAATCGAAGCTGTTCCTATAACTCGTAGGATGTTCTTTTTTTACAATGCACTTTCTTTTTATATAATTCTAAACACAAACCTATATTTATTCAGCCAGTTCTAATACAAATCATACAGTCTAGTCTAGAGTAGTGAGTGTTGGGTGTGGCAGAAAAAACATGAAAGTAGGGTGAATGCTGTAGAAATGAGAGTTTTTCGCAATATGTGTGGTATTAGCCTTAAAGGCAGAATGCCGATCAATATCAAAATCAAAATAATCTTTATTTCATAGGGAAGCATTATTACACTTGAAATCGTCTTGAAATCGAAATATATTTTTTTTGTTTTGAAATATCAGAGATCCTGTCTACCTCCATAAGCTAAACGGATTCCTACCACGGATTTTTGTCATACAAGTACGCAGAAGTTGTAAAATAGCCTTTAATATAAAGTTTTTGTTTCACTATAGTTTTAAACCTTGTGAATGGCGAATTTTGTATATCAACCGGAATCTTGTTATAGAAGCGTATACATTGACCCTTAAATGATTTTTTGACTTTGTGAAGACGACTATCAAGAAAAGCTAGTTTATTTTTATTCCTCGTATTAATGTTATGTCTGTCACTATTTTTCATAAAGAAATTACTATTCCTCTTAACATAAATTACATTTTCATAAAACGTACTGTGACGCTAGTGTAAAAATGTTAATTTCCTTAAACTTATATCTCAAAGATACTCTGGGGCCCAGATTGTAAATTGCCCTAACCGCACGTTTCTGCAGGACAAGATTCTATTGATATAAAAAGCAAAAGTATAGTAAGAGAGCGTTGTGGTATGAAAGATGATGTAGTGACAAAGATAGAGAAAGGGATGCTTCGATGATTTGGTCATGTAGAAAGAACGAATGTTGATAGATTGACGGTACAAATTTATAGAGCGTATGTGGATGGAAGCGTGGGGAGAGGTAGAACTCGGCGAGCATATCTCAATCAGATTGAGGATGTCCTTTAAAAAGGCCGGGTTAAAAGTACTAAGAATAAACTGGCATGTATGAAGAGATTGATGGGAGTGGAAGAGACGAAGGAGGTTTATGAGAAGCGTAGCAAGTGGAGGTCCATAGTCTCTGCCTGCCCCATTTTAATGTATAAAAATATTTAACATTTTTTTTGTATATGAAAGTAGCATCCAAATATAAAATAATTATTGTAACGGGTTTTTCAACAAAAATTTGTTTTGTAAATCAAAATAAAACAATAAATTTAGAAGACAATGATTCAAATTTTTATTGTTTTAAAAGAAGTAAAGTGTGGCAATTATGAATGAAAAATGATATCTGATAAATGTCCACCACGATCACAGTTACAGATGTCGATTCTTTCATCAAAGTTTTTAATCACTTTTTGACAAAATGGTGGGTCTATTTAGTTAATCACATCACGAATTTTGAGCTTTAAGACTGCAATCGATTCGATTGCAGACTTAAACACACATAAAACACAGTATTCATGTGGCCATAATTTTAAATTCCAGGTTCAACTCATACGATGGTCGCTTGGAGCGCTCGATGGAAGCAGTAGTCCTGTTAACAGAGGCTCTGAAAGGTTATGAAGCGCGGATACGCTACGACATGTTCGCTCACTCTGGGGAAGACCATGCGTTGGAGCTCGTGCGGGTTGACAGGCCACCAGAAAACGAGAAAGAACGGTTACAGGTATACAATTTGTGTGTATTATACATTGACTTACAAATAAATGGACGACGGGTCTAATACAAAAACCACG